CCTAAAAACCTAGTAGTGAGTCTCAAACCCTGACATGCACCTCACCAACCATATTCCAACTGATCAGAAAGCTCTAAATGTTCCTCAGATGGAGTTTAGAAATCTGGACCTCTTCATTCACTGATATTCTCTCTCTGCCTCTTCATAGAAAGTCAATTGCCTCTTCCCTGGTCTCCCTGCTTCCAGCCTTTGACCTCCACATTGTCATCAGAGTTTTTGTAAAACATAATTTTGGTCTTCTTTATGGTGACCATATTGTTTACTGTCTGAGCTGGGCACCTGAGCAAAAGAAGGCTTTATTCATTATGCTAGGGGGAAAAAGTGTAAACTGGGACATCCCCAGCAAATCAGAACATATCACTCTGCTTCAAAATCTCCAATAATCTGGCCAGACTCATGCCTGTAATCCCATCACTTTGGGAGGCGGAAGTGAGAGGATCGCCTGAGCTGAGGGGTTTGAGACCAGCCTAAGCAACATGGCAAGACTTCGTCTCTACAATAAATCAAAAAATTCACCAAGCGTGGTGGCACATGCCTGTAGTTCTAGCTACTTGGAAAGATGAGCCAGAATGATCATCTGAGCCCAGCAGGTCAAGGCTGCAGTGGTCATGAGCATGCCACCGCACTCCAGCCTGGGTGACAGAGTGAGACTCCAACTCAAAAAAAACAAACAACAAACTCCAATAATTTTCCACTGCCCATAGGAAACACCAAACTCTGTATGCAAAACATAGAGGCCCTATCTCCTGCTTTTATGTCACATGTACTCTGCTCCAGCCACATGGTCTTCTCTTAACTGCATCACATTCCATTCTATCATGGCACTGGAGCCAAACGGCTTGATTTCCTGGCTCCTCTTACCAGCTGTGTCACATTAAGCAGGTTACTTTACCTCTCTGTATCTCAGGTTCTGTAAAATAGAAATAACGTTAGGAGTAAGTGGGATAAACATGGTAACTAGCACAGTGCCAAAATAAAACAATAAACGGCTGTTTTCCCTTGCGATGTAGATCCCATTCCCACAGCTTTATAGATTTAAAAAACAAGCTTGGCTGGGCGTGGTGGCTCAAGCCTATAATCCCAGCACTTTGGGAGGCCGAGGTGAGACCATTGCCTGAGCCCACGGGTTTGCGACCAGCCTGGGCAACATGGTGAGACCACGTCTCTACAAAAACAAAATTAGCTGGGTGTGGTGGCGCATGCCTGTAGTTCCGGCTAATTGGAAGGCTGAGGCCAAAGAATCTCCTGAGCCCAGCGGATTGAGGCTGCGGTAGCCAGGAGCATGCCACTGCACTCCAGCCAGGGTGACAGAGTGAGACTCCAACTGAAAAAAAAACAAGCGTGGAGACGTGAAGTGGGCCCCAGGTCACACAGCTGACTTTGTTTGCTGCTTTGCAGTTTTCACAGTGACTTGAGGGCAGAGAGCATCTTATTTCAGATTTCTCATTTCCAGTGTCACCTAGGGCCCAAAGGATATTCCGTGAGATCAGATGATCAAAGATCTGGAAAAACACACAGGAGAATTTGAATCTGGAAAAAGAGAAGGGGGAAGAAAGGTGAGATAAACTACTGGGGCAGGGAATGGCTGGGAAAGCTCTGGGAGAACCAGGCCCACGACCAGAGATGGCAGAAGGCCCGCGGTGGGGCTTGCTGTCATATCTTCACTATAATTATTATAACATCTGTCTAAGAAAAGCGCCGCCGACGTTGGAGGGGCTGCCCTCCAGCCACCTTCCCGAGATGGGCCTGACGCCAAGACCAGCCTGGGCGGCCTCTGCACCTCGAGGCTGGGGTACCCGGTCAGGACGCAGGCAGGGTCTGCAAGCCCTGGAAAGCTTCCCGGCAGCGACGCCCCGGCGCCGCGGGAGCCCCGCTTCCACGTGGCCCCTACCCCGTGCCCGCCAGCCCTCGTCAAAGGCCTCCGAGGCTGGCGGGAAGTTGCGTCTCCGGACTAAGCCTCCCGGCAGACCAAGGCGGAGAAGACGCGGCACGACCGGAAGCACCGGGAACTGCTTCCGGGCCAGGGGGCAGAGCCACCATGGAGCCTCGCGAGGCTGCGGGGCTGGCGGGGCCGCGGGCCGGCGTCTGAAGCGAGCGGGGCGTAGCGCGACCGGGGACCCGCAGGGCGGTCCCGGGGCCCGCGGCTG